TATGAATCGATTATGGCGTGAATCGCTACAATTTAACACTCGGCAAACCAACACGCTCACTCGTAGCGCCGGATAAATTTAAGAAGGAATACGCGTCAATTTCCAAAAGGTACGAGGGGCAGTCTTAGCGAGGGAAAGAAAGATGGAAACTAACGGCATCAGGTTGACCGATAAATTAATGGACATACATGCATCCGCCATCCCGGCACTCTCTCCAGAAAGAGAGGCCCACGGCGACTAACCCCGTGCTCTCGATCGACGTGATGTGGACCGACGCGAGGCGCCGCGACGCCCGTCGCGTCGGAGTAGCGGCCGCGCGCAGCTGCAGCTGTGTCGCTCTTGCCCCGCGAGGATCGTTCAGTGAACGAGGCGGAGCGGTTTCGAGCGGTGTCCGAAACGATAGATGTCTTCTTGCGGTGCTCGTTGTGCAGTGTAGTTATCAAGTTTCGCCATCGAGCGGTACGCGAGCGTACGCTCGTGCGAGCGCAGCGGACTCGCAGTGGTAATAACTTTTATTACACCGCCAGGTAGGAAGATACGGACGCACGTAGACGAACGCACGACGAACGCGACGTAAGGCGCTTCTCCCTGGGGCATCGACGGCGCGAAGGTGCGCCGGGGAGGTCGGGAGGGCGGGAGGGGAGGGCAGGCGACGGGGAAGGATGTCGATGCGCCGTCGGTGGTCGGTTTCGGGGGTTGATTCGCGCCGCGGGGGCGATGAGCGCGCTTCCCTCCGCCCTGAGACTGACCTCCTGCTGCTGCTGCTGCTGCTGGCTCCTGCTGACCTGTCTCGTCGTCTTCCTGATACCTGCACCCTGCACCAGCGACACGCTGCAGCAAATAATAAACCCGGCTCAAAAACAATCAGTAGGTGATGATGACGCGGCGGTGTACGAATCCAGCTATCTCGACGACGATGCCGAAGTCTACGAGGACGAGCAGATAGCCACCGGCAATGGCGACCTCGACGAGGACTGGTTCGGAAATTTTACGGGTAAGTTAGGTCACGGTTCGTATATATTAACTGGATAATCACAGCAATCGATAGCAGGAGAATAACTGTTCAACGAAATTTTCCGACGGTTGGATTTAAATTAAAATTCGATAACGGCGAATTTTTTATAAATGCCTTGATACACCATGGTAGAAATTCTTTCGAGTATATCTCTGATCGAAACGTCGATCAGAATTTCTATCTAAACTGATGAATGATGTATGAGTATTACAATTTGTAAGACGAAAAAAGACGCTGATATCGATATGATTACAGATTCGAACATTTTGAGAAAAGAAGCCAAGATTTATAAAATAGTTCGATGATAGCGTTGTGATGTTAATTCGTTACCTAGGTGATGTCAGGAGAAATCATATTTCAATATCAAACATCGTATAAACTTGCTAAAATATAACTTTTTTAACGAATAAAAAAAATAATTTCTGTGCATTGATAAAAAATTAAATAATATCAAGAAATGTAAATACAAATATAAAGATATATGTGTATAAATATAGAAATTGAAGAAATATCACAAAGTAATGCCAAGTTTCTAAAAAGATAATTATTAATTAGAAAAAGATAATTATTATGCTAATCAAATTGTTGAAAGATTTTACAAGTCAAGAAATTGTTTGAGGAAATAAGATACAATTAGATGAAAATTAAATAATGTATAAGAAAAATATTATGAGAGAGAAAATAAACGAACAGTAATAGAGAGTAATAGAGAAAATTATTATTACTATGTTTGAGTTTATTCAATAATTAACGTTCATTTAACATAATTTACAATCAAAATATGTTTGTCCTAGACATAACAATGCTCTATTTCGATCGACGATGTATTTCAAGATTCTTTTCTTTTTGCTTGTATAATACAAACACTTCCTCAGGAATGTTCATCCATTAAAGCATGTCTAAATCATCATTTTCTAATATACATTTTCAAAAGTAATTAAATTAATTCGCCAAATATATAAACGCAATTTTTAAGATAAAATTATGAAACCCATTTAATTTGATTTAAAATTAAAAATATGGTGCTATTTTCAATGAACCATATAAAATATGGTTTTTTTATAAAAATAATTTTTTAAATTGTTCGAAATTATGATAAAGAAAATTTTTTTAATAAATTGTTAAGTCAACTGTAATAATTATAAAATTTTTCCATTCTACTTCAAAAAATCATATATACTAATTAATGTTTCAATTAATGTTTTGCTCAAACCACATTTAAATTTTTGTTAAATGTCGTATCGTGAATATTCTTTTGCTTCAATGAAGATTCAATTTTTTTGCGTCTATCTCATTTTGCTCTTCTTATACACACATTCTTATCTCTTTTCGATTTTATATTAAAACACCTAACCTATTACTTTTACGTTCTAAAGGAAATGAAAAGTGCCTCGAGCGATTTGTCTTCGTGAACGCGTCGATTTAATTAAAAAGGAAACATGTTCTTCTTGATTTTCGCGCCAAGAATGCCACCGGTATTGATTTTAATGGATGCTGCAAGCTCTGCGCGTTCTCTAAGCCCGCGTGTGTCAGTTGAACTGCACATTGTGCCTACGTTTTCCTTAAAAGTAAAGCGCAGGGAAGAATAATGCATTTTTTGCTCTTTCATGATGCATTTTTTTTATTAGAAAAATGCAATCGGGTCGAATGGATTAACAGAAAGAGCAAAACTTAATTGCAATGGTTAGTTATAATATCAAAGTTGATAAATGACCAAATGAGACAAGAACATCAATTTTACTGCCTTTTACTTAAATCTCCGCCGGCAATATAGAATTTTTAAAGACACCATAGATATTTTGATTGTGAATTTTGATAAATTTAAATCTATAAAACTGAACAAAATATAATTCAACTTCTATAATAATAAAAACTCATGTTAAAACTTTGACAAATATACCAAAATTTTTTCAGATTGTTATATAATCTAGAATAATAAAAAAATCTCTGTTTCTCTGTAAGACTCACGGAAGAGTTAAAATTTCATGTTGTTAATAAAGAGTTAATTTCCAAATTAAAAGAGTAAGCTACTCGAGAAATAAATTATTACATGCAAAATAATGAATTAGCAATTAGAGCGATATAAGTATGCTCATTAAAATATCTTTTCACTTAATTTAACATGCTTTTTGGAACTTTCTACGGTTCTTGTTTAATTAATGTAATCCAAGATAATTTTAATGATTGAAACGCATAATTTCTTAATTATACTTAGTATATATAACAGCACATGCTAATCCATCAGACGTTATTAAAACTTTCCGTTAAACTCTTCGTAAATCACGCGAATCTAAATTTTCGCTTGATAAGAGAATTTGATAAAGCACACGCGAACAGTAACGTGTACGCGTACAACGAACTTTAATAAGTATAAATTTAAATGCAACTTGCTAAAGAAATCCAGTCGAGGCCATGCATTTTCAATCGCAAAACTGAAGAAGTACGCAATCATCGCAAAACGGCACATATCGTATTGCACGGACGCTATTATCCGCAAGACAATGAGGTCTGTAATATTGAAATCTCTGCATTTGCATACGCGTCCATAGCGCCGCTAAATGACACGAAACACATTTATCACGCACAACTGTCATTAAATAAGCAATTTATGTGTGTTGATCCGAATAGCCTGCGCAAAAGAACGTCGTAAGTCTTTACAAATAAAGATATCTATATATTTAACATTGCAAATAAATATGCACACGCATGCACGCACGCACGTACACACACACACACACACACATACACACACACACACACACACACACTTATTATTATTATTATTATCAGAATGTAAAATAAAGTATCAACAAACTAAAAATACTAAAGGATTCAAGATAATAAAAGAATTTTAATCTTCTTATATTTGTTAATAGGTAATTTATAATTAAAATAAAAATAGATTTGTGGCTTTAAGAATAAATCAAATATTATATAAGTAAATTATCTGTATAATCTCCGTAATTATTAATATGTTAATAATACGCTTATAAGAAGATAAGGTATAATCAGCAAACAATTGGAATAAACTTATCAATTATGAAGTTAACTGCAAACGTTTTGACTCTAGATTTAAATCCTCTTTAGTGTGGAAGTTAAATGCAAATTACAATATAATAGTCCAGACTCGAAATCTTTGCAGTTAACTTCGTAAATTGGTAAGTATATTACAATTGTTTGCGAATTATATCTTATAAATA